CATATATATATTTGTATACTGAAAGGTAAGCACAAGAACATGCATAGCATCCCTAGTCATAGCCTGTGTGTTACTTTGGTGTGTGGGTGGAGATTGAAGTATACCGATCATTGCTGCTCCATGCTTTCTGTGTTAGTCAGTTTTCCAGTTGCTGTGACCAAATACCAGATACCCACAGCTTAAAGGAGAGATTTAATTTGCTTCATGATTAAAAGAAATGTTGTTCATGGTTGGCTGGCTGCAAGATAGAAACATCATGGCAAAAGGGTACAGCAGAGCAGAGGTGCTTAGTTCACCATGTCCAGGAAACAGGAGAATAGCACCGGAGGAAAAGAGGTGATGGACCAGGCTAATGGCTAAGGTTGTGCCTCTGTGACTCACCCTGACACATCCAGAAGTGTGCTTTACTAATCTCTTCTGCTTCCAAGTGAGTCAGGTTGACACAAGGAAGTTTAGGTGCCACATTTCTTCTGCCCCCTTATTTTCTGTTTTCCACTCTAGTTGACAGGTGATGAGGCATGTCTTGTGTTCTGTTAATTGGCATAGACCCTCTGAGTGTTAGCTATTCCACATTGGCTTGCCATTGAACACATCTTTGGTTCTTGACTAAGCATTATTCATAGCAAATGTGGGTAAGTGTATTGGGCTTGATGATTGGGAAGGTTGTTGTGGGAGGTGTTGCAGTGTCCTGCATTGTCTTGTTCACTTAACGGTCTTTCTTGCCTTCCCTCATCTCTTATCATTTATTAACGATAAACTTGATTATTTTTGTAAGTTTATGTAAATAATTTATTTTAGAAAGCTAACACAAATTTACTCTTCTCATTCTAGGATATGGCGGTACTAGACGACGTTAAGAAAGTTGAAGTGGAACACTGGAGACAAAATTTCTGAATTTTTGTCACGTTCTCTTTTAAAAAAGTGCTACCTGCTAACTTCTAGGGAAGTGGAATATTCAAAAGTTCTGTGGTGTTTTGTCCTGTATATCTTTTTATATTTCATTATTTGTGGCTAAGAGTTGGTATATGACTTAATGCTTATTTATGACATATTAGTATAACATGCAGATGTATAGTGCAGTTCTTGAGTGATAATTCTTGGTGGAATGCTAAAAATTTACTATTTGCTTATAAAAACCTGTGAAACCATTGGAAAGCATTATTAATGAAGTCATAAAGTAGAAACTGGTAAAAATTCCAGTCTTAGGTGGCATTAGTGGATGAGCCTTTACTTTATAGAAACAGTAATATTTAATTTGGTATTACATTATATGATGTTTGCTATTCTTCAAGTAGTTAAACCAAGCTTTGGACTACTAATTATTCTAATTTGTAGGTTCAGATCACTTAAGCTCTGGAGCTCTGAGTTCTTCAGTGGTGTTAGGCTTCTGGTAAGTGAGAATTAACTTTCATAGGTAAAGATAGAGAATATGCACCTATTAAAAAAAAAGAAAAACACTGAGAAGATTGTGAATGATTGTGTGCTGACAAATACTTGAAACTTCCTTTGTCTTCACTTCCTGTAAGCTGATGCATTATGTCAACTTGAGAAGTTTAGAAGTTGAAGTGACTCAGCAGGGGACCAGGGTCCTCACTATGTAAACATCCTGAATCTGTGCAAGAGGAGGGCAGGGAGTTGCTGTGAGTGCTGCACCCACCTGAGGGTAGTCTGCTTACAGTATAAGGGAGGAAAAGAGGCTTGCTTTCCCCTTTTGGTTCTTGTTGCTTTTGTGGTCTTGTGCTGTCTTGTTACTCCTCTGCTGTTCCTTGGAACCAGCTGAGTATGGATTGAAACCTTCACAAACTGTGAGCTAAAAAAACCTTTCCTCCTCAATTTTGAGTGTTGGGTATTTTGTCTCAGCAGTGAGAGAGAGAAAACCAAGACAGAATTTAGTATTGGGAATGGGGTTATTGCTGGGACTACCTGACAGTGTGATACAAGAGCCTTTGGGAATGGCATGTGGGAAGATTTTTGGAAGGGTTTGGAAATGCCAGCTGAAAGAGTAGCACTGGCATGCCTTGGGCTATTCTGTGTGTGGGATTCTGATTAGACTTTATTGACCAGAGGCTAATACAAACCCTGCTAATAAAAGACCAGCCTTGGGAGGTTTCTATTGGAAAGAAGGACTGCATTGGCTGTTGCAAGTTCAGAGTGGGTTACAGCTTGGCAGGAAGTTTGTCTGCATTTTGCTCCTATCTAGAGACTTTGCTTACTAATTAATATGGTAGAAGAAATTTTAAAGCAGTCCAATATTGAGGCTGTGGCATAACTATTGTTGGGGGCTTTAGCCAGATCTATGTTGAGAATTAAGAGCAAAGAGCTCAGCGAGTAAATTAAAATGTGAGTTTGGCCAGAAGGGAAGCCCTAGTAAAGCTGTACACAACAAAGATAGCGCTGGGGAGACCTTCATTGTTGAGAAGGAACAGGAGAAGAACAAAGATGGCTTGTGGGTGTCACAAGAAGCAGCAAATCTCCATCCTTTGCAGCCTTAAAACTGCAAAAGTGGAAGACTTTGCTTTGAGGAGAAGCCCACAGAGCACCATGTTCCAGAATGACAGTGGCATAGGAAGTTTGTTCTTGAGAATTTGATTCAGAGTGCCTAGTGATCCAGGCACTTGACCACTAGGGCCAAGAGAGAGGGAAGTCGGGCTGTTGCTCTACCTGGCAGCAGATGTTGGCATCATCTACATAGTACTGGCTGTAGGCACATACTGAATGCAGGAGTTGCGGAGGGGGTGGGGGTTAAGAAGGTTCACACCTCAATTTCAGAAGGCCTGGACCAGGCACTGTGTCCATGAAGCTGTGGGGGTGAAGCCAAAGGTGCTGTGAGGGCCTCACAAGTTTGAAGAAACCAGGAATGTGGATCATCTAGGGAAACCTGCAAAGAAGGAATAAAGCCAGCTCAAGAGAAGCTGTGGGAACTATAATCACCAGAAGTGCTGTAGGGATGGAACCACACAAGCCCTTTGGATCTCACAGTTTGCTACAGATTGCCTCAGATGCTAGACATGGAATTACAGGACTTAATGTTTTGCCCTGTTGGATTTTGGACCTGCTTTGGTCCCAATCCTTTGTATTCTCCTGATTGTAACTTTTGGAGTGAAAATGTTTATCTTCTGCCATTGGCTGTGAGAAGTGTTTAACTTTTCATTGTATGGGGTCTTGTAGCTAAGAGCTTACCTTAAATTTCAGAGATCGGAACTTGGTCTTTTCAGCAGTGCTGAAACTGTTAAGACTTTGGCAATTCTTCTGGGTGGACTAAATGCCTTTTGCATAAAGAGATGTGCATGAGGAGGCTAGGGGTGAAATGTTATGGTTCTAATGTAATGTTGATAGACTTAATACTGGTTCTTAAGGATTGTTAAATCTATGTTATTATGTTCAAGTTGTGTGATGATAAGAGTCAGCATGTCTTTGTAATCTATAGACCTGTTTAAAGAAATGCACCTGGTTGCCAGCTTGAGAAGGGGTGGGTTGTGATGGTTAATACAGTGTGTCAATTTGAGAAATACAGAAGTTTAAATGACTCAGGAAGGGTCCCCAGAGCCAACAAGAGAAGAGTAACCAAGAAGTTTCTAAGAGATGCAGTTCAAATACTTTAATAAAGGTCTTTTAATAGCAAAAGTATGCAATTCTGTGTGGAATCTCAAATATTGTTATAATAGAATCAAACATTAAAATGACAATTAAGATTATTCTCATTCTTTCTACTATCCTTGGCTTTGTATATTTTGTTTACAAATATTTTCATTTACGCTCTCTGAACTTGAAAATTTTTAGGGAATGTATTTTTGTTAACTGAAAATGTCATGAGTAAACCAAAAAGTTAATGATATTTGAATCTTTAAATCTGCTCTGATCGGGGGCCTGGCCCTAGCTCAGTTCTTTAAGTGGCTGCTTCCACAAAGCTGTCAGTCTCAGGTTGCTGTAGTTCGCTCCCCACAACACTCCAGCCAGCCAAAAGTGCCCTGAAGGCATTGGAGGAGCCAAAAAAAAAAAAAAAAAATCCTTAAATCTGCTCTGAAGTTCCTGTATCATAAACAAAGCCAGGAGTATATTTTGACTGTTCCCAGTACAATGTTTAGCTAAGGTATCAAAATGCATAAAATTATTTGCATATTTTGAGCTTGCCAGAATATGTTTCATTAGAATGCTATTATGGTTTGGAACGTAGCACAGTTGATTTTTACCTTGAAAGTGCATTTTAACTCAGATGAGTGGTCAAATCCACCAAAATTGCTAAATCTATCAGTCATTTTTGATCTTTGAAATCTTTTCCAAAGTTTCTTTTTATTTCATAAATGACTTGATTTCATTTTGCAAATCATAAGTCATTTTGACATCTTATCCTGGCTTAGTAGGTTATCTAATTTTTGAGAAGTATAAACAATATCTGCATAATCAGCTTCCATAATTGTAAGGACTTTCTGGAACAAGCAGTGATTTAATCTCTTGGGACTTTGTGAAATTTACAGCTTTGATGATGATTTGCACTTCATTTTTAAAGCTTTCATACATTTTCTTGATAAATGGACCAGTGGTATTTCATGATATGTAAATTACTGGTAGTGATTACATAATCCTCTATTAATTTTTTTTTTTTTTTTTTTTTTTACTAACCATTGTCAATACCAGATATGTTGACTTGGGTAAAAGAAAATTGCTTTTTTATATTTTTGTTCTTTGGTTTTTTGAACTGGGCTTGCTGTGTAGTCTGACTGACCTTGAACTGTTTATGTATCTGAACTCAAACTTTCAGTGCCCCTTCAGTGTCAGCCTCCCCAATGCTGGGATTATAGGATTGTGCTGCCATGCCCAGCCCAAGAAAACTGCTTTAATGTCACTTTTACTACTTTATACAAACCAAGAGATTTAGTTTTGTCTTTTTTTTTTTTTTTAGTTTGAAAGCATTTAGTTGACATCATTATCAGTACCTGTAATAAAAATGGCATGTTGAACAGTATCTGTAATACCACTTACTATGTATTGCCAAAGTATAACATTTGAAATTAGCAGCTTCTCCCACTCTGTTTTGACATTTTTATTTCTTCAGTTTGCCTGGCTATAGTTTCTTTTGTACTTCCAAGGAATTTTTCACTGAGAAAATTATAAGAAAATTCTTTTGTACCAATCCATAATAATGAAAATCAAGTACCCATTTTCATTGGAGCACAGAGACATGTCCTTTCAATCAGTTTCTACTGGCATACATTCGCTTAGTGTATTTTGTGGGAGAGCACAGGGACCTGTGTGCCGGCTAAGCCTGGACTACTCCTCAGGGTTGGCTGGCCAACCTGCTGTGCAGGAGTAAGCAGTCTGCTTGATACCAGTCACTTAGGTTCATACAGTCAGCTAGGTGCTTGGCTTCATGCTAACCAAAGGAAGCCATTTGATTTGGACTTAAAGGACTTACTTAAAGGTAGCTCCAAGAGGTGAAGGGGACTATCTGCTTCACATCATCTCACTGTGTATAGGTGTGTTGGGTCTGGTTCTTTATAGCAAGGAATAGTGGGAGAGGGAATACAGTGGGATGATACACATGTAGGCTGGTTCCATTCCTTCCTGAACCAAGAACCTCTCTTTTGTCTTAAGAGAATGAAATTGGACTTGACCTTCCAGTGTCAGCATCTGCATATTCTATGTTATGCTCAGCCTGAGGAAATTTGGAGCAGTCATTTGTCTCCAAAGGGGGGAAAAAAAAAGTTCAAAGTTCCATTTTGCAGTGTTGCTTACACTTGAAGTCTTCAGGTTAGTGAATCTGCACAGCCTCCCTGGCTGAACCTATGCTGTGCAGGCTCCCTTTCTCCAATGTTACCATGGGGGTTGGATTCCTGGCTTTCAGGTTCTTGTATGTGAGGAACAAAGTGGACACTGCACACATGGTACAGCAAAAATAGCTGAATTTAATAACACTTAAGGGGAGAGGTATTCTCGGAGTGATTAGGCTCATACCAGCAGAAAGGAAGATGCACAGGCACTAAGTTGCAGATTTGGAAATTCAAGAGCTGGCCCAGGGATCTTTGTGTTTTTTGTCTTTTTCTTATTAGACCTTAGAACAAGGGAAAGGGGGGTATTGCCTAGGCTCAGATGATTTTCCCTTTTATTTAGAGGGGAAAAATTGTTTCCTTATCTGGGTCAATGTTATAATGAAACAGAAGAAAAACAAAACAGGAAACCCCAAAGCAAACAAAAGTTCAAAAAATTCATTTAGAGAGAAAGAAAAGAGAAGAGAGGGGGAGCAGGGGAGGGAGGGAGAGAAGGGGGAGAGGGGGAGAGAGAAGGGAGAGAGAGGGAAGAGAGAATAAGAATGTAATGAACATCCAAAGATAACTTTTCTATACATTAATGTGGCTACCCTG